GCAAACAACAACGCGGCTTAGGGGTGCGGGAGCTATCGAGTCGCGGCCGCTTTCCTGCGGGCCTTTGGATGACTCGGTAGAGCCTACGGCTCCTTCCGATGCTTCCAGTCCCATCGAGTCTTGCTCGGCCCTGACTGGGCGGGCGCAAACCCGGTCTCGGGCTGATGGAGGCGCGGGATCGTCAATGGCCTGGGGCAAACCCTAAGGGCTGGACAGACGGGCGAAAAAGCAGCGGGAGCGGGGGAATCGAGTTTTTAGTGTGGCCCTTGGCCCGATGGCGGCGGTGCGGGAAGCTCTGAAGCATGGGAACGCCCGGGGCAAGCGGCGGCGGACAGGGCATATGACTGTACTGCATGCCGGGCCGCCGCATGTCTTAAGCTTTTGCTCTCCCCTCTCGCGCTCTCGAAGGCGTGTGCTGAAGTTATCGTCATGGCCCTGCCCTCTCCTCTACCTACGAATCGTTTCATTCGTTCCTAATTGATGTTCCTGGGTGTTGATTCTTGGAGGACGATCTAAAGCGCGTTGTTCGCGCGCCCTTTCCCCAGTCATCTGATACCTCGGCCCGCTCGACGCCAGCCAGGGCGTCATAGCGGGGAGCAACCTCTCCACCGCCGCTGCTCCCGCACTGCCGCGTGGCCGGGGAGTGAAAGGCACCACAACAGCACCAACCCACGCCCTCCTTCCAGTCGCTCGGCCAGCCTTCCTTCAATTGAGCACTGCAAAAATCCATACACTCCTTCCGCGAACGCAATTTCTTATCACGACCGCGCTTCACGTCCTTTCCAATCTGTTAGCTTGGAGAAAGCAGAGGAGCAGAGGCCGATCCGGCCTCTGACATCCGGTCGCCCGCCATGTCGTGGAAGGCTTCAGAGAAGCTCATGCAGAGCATCAAGCACTACTCTGCGTTTCCGGCCACGGGCGTGAGTTTGCGCCAGATGGTGCAGTTCGGTGAGAAGCCATCCACAGGTCAGTACGCTTGCCTTTCTGCCGCGTTGTCGCGATCGCATGTCCTTCTCGTTGGCTTGATAGGCTACTGACACCCTGAACTTTAACTTATAGGCACGCTGTTCCGCGCGTCGCAGTTCCTGTCCGAAGAGCTTCCGATCCGCCTTGCGCACCGTGTCGAGGAGCTGGATAACTTGCCCGATGGCCTCAACGAGATGCCGTCGATCAAGAGGGTCAAGGATTGGTACGCGCAGTCGTTTGAGGTACGCCATCCCATTCCAAGACCAAACTTCATGCTTCACGCTCTATATCTTCTGTGCGCGTCCGAATAGTGCTTCGTGTTTCATTCTATACATCAAGCTCCATTTCTTCGGTTGGGCTCTATCTTAGGATTGAGCTTGCACTTCGCGTATCATGCTTCATCGCTTTGGTTGTATATTGTTTCAAGTTCGAACTTGTCTGTCGCACTTCACGCGACTTTACGTACGATGTCTTTGTCTGAGCTTGAAGTTAGACCTCTTGTTTTGCATTGCTTTTTATACGTGCTGTGCTATACTACCTATGGCATTCCGCGACATTCATGACAGTTCACCCCAGAGTCGCGTTGGCATGTCTACCATGGGGCTTATCTAACGCTGTTGAATCCACAGGAGCTCGTGAACATGCCGCGACCGAGCCTCTCAAAGGAGGTCAGGGAGCGTCTCCTAAAGGGATCGAAGCAAAACGGGAAGAACTCCAACATCCTTAGCAAGACCACCCACAACCCGAGCGTCGAGAGGGGCCAGTACCAGTCGGCGCCAAAAGTGAACGGAGCCTCCAATGGCGTGGACCGCAAGCCGACTTCGAGTCGGCGATACTACGCAGGTGTGGACGACGGCATGGAGTGGCCTCCTGAGATGAACGGATACAACATACAATTTGCTCGCACGCTGGAGAAAATCAAGAGGCGGCACGACAGCGTCGTTACGACTGTCGGTAAGTGCCACTGTCTCCCCCCCCTCAAAAAAAAAAAAATCTTGTTGAATAGCTAACTTGGGTCACTCAACGCAGCCCAGGGCATCCTCGAGTGGAAGCGAAAGCGCCAGCGCATGCAGATTGACCACAACATCCAAGCCTTCCTCGACCGGTTTTACATGTCACGTATTGGTATACGAATGCTGATAGGACAGCACATCGCCCTTACCGAGCAGCGCCAGCGTCCTGATCCAAACTATGTCGGCATCATCTGCACCAAAACCAACGTGCGCGAGCTCGCTCAAGAGGCCATCGAGAACGCTCGGTTTGTGTGCGAGGACCACTACGGCCTTTTCGACGCCCCGAAGGTCCAGCTCATCTGCCCCCCCGACGTCTCCTTCATGTACGTCCCGGGACATTTGAGCCACATGCTCTTCGAGACGCTAAAGAACAGCTTGCGCGCGGTCGTTGAAACGCACGGCCAGGATAAAGAAGAATTTCCCATCACGAAGGTGATCGTTGCTGAGGGAAAGGAGGACATCACGATCAAGGTCTCGGACGAAGGAGGTGGGATCCCGCGTTCTGCCATTCCGCTGGTGTGGACGTACATGTACACGACGGTCGATCGCACCCCGGAATTGGACCCCGAATTCAACAAAAGCGACTTCAAGGCGCCAATGGCAGGATTCGGCTATGGTCTACCTATTAGTCGACTATATGCGAGGTACTTTGGCGGAGACTTGAAACTGATTAGCATGGAAGGGTGAGCTCCCCCAAATTTCTCCTTGTGTTCTGCGCGCAGCATTTAAAGGAGGTACTAACGAGTAAATCTCAAAATGCGCAGTTATGGTACCGACGTGTATCTCCACCTCAACCGCTTATCCTCGTCATCGGAACCACTCCAGTGACAACGACCCGTCATGAGGGACGAGTGGCAGCAAGGAACCACGCCGAGTAGCGCCTCCTCGACCCAAGGATTGACCATGTCTAATTCTTCTCCTCCGATCCAGGCGTGGGCCGGAAACTCATCGTCGCCGGCCACCTCGTCAACAATGGCTGTACGCGCCATGCGGCTCAAGTCTAAGGGCGCTTCGCGCGAAGTATCAGAGCGCAGACAGGTCGGCGACGCCGAGGAGATGGTTAATGAGGATCCGAGTAGTAAACCTTGGTGGAGGAATATCGGGATGGAAGAGGGCATGTAGGTGGTATGCGTCGGTTTTATTTTTTCTTTCCTTCTTCCCTTTTGGAATCGGAGAGTCGGGAGGGGCGGCCACGAAGAGGGGGTCTGCAAGTAGAGTTCTGCGTGGCTCTGGTGTCGTGTTCTTGCACTTCGGCAACGGCGGCATGACTGTTGACTGCATAGGTTGGCGAATGGTGTAGACAAAAACTTTTCATGTGCTGTGAGGTCGGGTGGTAAAGCTCTTTTCATCCCTTTTTTCAGTAGGACTTAGGCTAGCCAGCATTTTCTTCGGGGATGCCCACAAGCATAAGTACATAGGTCCTGTTCGGGAAGCGTAATAATGGCACCAACATGGTGATATCAAATGCGTCAACCTACTACGTGTTTTTCTTGCACAATAGGCTCCGAGCCTTGGCTAGTGTGTGATGAAGTGTCCATGGCACTATGTGAATATGCAAAAGAAGAAAATAAGCATACAGGGTATCAAATGAAGCAACCATGCCGCCATGCTTATTGAAAATACGCCTTTTTTTTTTTTCAATCCCATCCCAGTACTGTCGATTGCCATTGTGCTATCTCAGCATACTGATATATCAGGCACTTAACCACCAGAATTTTCAGTCTGCTCGATGGCTTCATATTCCCCTGTGAGTTTCCCTAACCCAAAACGCCTGATTCATTTCCTACGCCACACCGCGCCATATCGCTCACCCCTTTATGACCCAGCGACAGACTTTCCCGCCTTCCCTTTCTTCGTATTCGGGCTTGACTTGTTCCGCGACGACGTGCTTCCGCACTGCGACATACCCTCGAATCCTAGGGCACTACCACTGCCGCCGTCGGCGTCGAATTCGCCATCGTCATCGCCCTCGAAGTCGTCCTTCCAGTCCACCTTGTCATCCTCATCTTCCCACCCGGCGAGTATCTTCTGGAAGTGTAGGCGGGTCTGCGGGACGGACTGCGCGGACTCGGGAGCGTTAGCATCATTCAACGACGCCGGACTTGGCCACCACGCCATAACCACGCAGCTCCCGCGCCATCCCCAACGAAGTCCAACAATGTCGCGCAAAGAAGTCGATACCCGCCAGCGGCACACCCCCAAGCGCTCCAAGTAGCTCCAGCGGTAAAATGAGGGGCACGCACCTCGTTCCACTGCGCCGCATACCACACCAGCACTTCATTGCTCTCCAGCACGCGAGCCGCAAAGTACCGCGCCTGGCGCTCCTCGAACGCCTCGTCGCGCGCGAGCGACTCGTTCGCGTCCGCCTCGCCCGTCGATATGCCAGTACCGCCCTGCTGCTGCTGCTGCTGCTGCTGCTGCTGCTGTTGGCTTTCATGCTGTTGCTGCTGCTGTTGCTGCGGCAGGTCGCCGCCGCCGGCTTGACAGCCCGGGCAGGAGGTGAGGCCGATGGGCTCGCGGTACGAGGGCCGGTTGCGGGCTTGGCGGTCTTGTTGGAGGGAGGTGAACGGCGCAGACATGTGTGGGCAGTGGAGTGGAAGCTTGATGGTGAGTGTGGCTTAAGGTCGTACTTCGGAGACGGAGGGGTGGGTTAGTTGGGCGCGGTAAAGTTCGCCGGGTACCTCAACAACCTGGTTATGTGATTAAACAGAGACTTTGCGGAGCGATCGCTGTGTCTACAAGAAAAAGAAGGGCGCCAATATGTAGCTAATTTCAGAAAGGTTTGTCGTTCAAGTGGAACGGAGGTTTGCTGAACCGATGAGGTATCTACCTAGTGAAAGCAGCTTCCAGGAGCTAGAGACGCCAGGTGGACTAGGCGCAAGCCACACGATGCAGCGATGTTAATGCGCATGATTCATTCAATTTGACATGCAAAATGCGTCGTGCAACATAATTTGTCTACTCAACGAAACAAAATGTTAGTGTCTTAGGTTGAGGGCGCCAAAAAGTCAAACTACTAAAGGGCTCCACCGCGATTCGAACGCGGGACCTCGATGAATTTAGGCACGCTATAACCCAAACATCGAATCATGCCACTAGACCATGAAGCCATAATATTTTATCCCCAAAACTTCGCACTTTTGCTCTATTATGTTTAGCGTAACTCTGAACGCTCCAATAGCTAAAACTAGATTTAGTTTCCTATTGGCCGTTATGGTACAGAGTATTGCCATAACGTGTTTCATCACCGAGTCGTCAATATCACCGAGTCGACAGCGCCCACCGATCCCGCATCATCTTAGACGAACCAGCTTTACAACACAAAACTATTCTTACTAGTTCTAAGTATCGCGGGATAATGTAGTATCATTCCAAACTGCCTAGTAATTTACAGGCTCTATCTCGTGGTAGTGGTGCCGTCGCGACGCTATGAAGTCGTCGTCAGCCGCCTCGCGCGACAGCACACCCGGCACCTTTTACCCTCTTACGCCCGCCAACTGCATAAGCAAATTACGTTAAGGTGCTAAATTATTCGGAAAAACACTATAGTATCTAGGATTGTAATTATACAATAGC